TATTGTCACATTTTTTGATTAATTCATTCAACTGATCAATTCGTATTCTACGAATTCGTAAAAATAATGGCGAAGTGAGGTGAGAAGTATGCGAACCGATGAGAAGAGACGAATCTATGTATTTTTAACCTCAGAGAAAAGTGTCCTGTCCCTGACATCAATTCGTATTTTACGAATTGTATTTATGAATTCGTCGGTTAGGCTTTGGCATCTATGAATTCGTAAATAGAATTCGTAAATTCGCATTTTATCGTATTTTTGCCAGTTTACGAATTCGTACACGAATTCTTGAGGACCAAAATGATCATTTCACGAATTCGTCGATGGTCGACCAATTCGATTTACGAATTCGTCGATGGTCGACCAATTCGATTTACGAATTCGCTGCGAATTTGCAAAACAATGGTAAAATGCGAATTGTTGCATCATTTTTACGCCCAAAAATTGCGATTCGTCAATTCGTCTTTAGATACTTTGTCCACACTAATGGTTCTGCGGGCTTTGTTTTATAACGATTAGCCACTTCTTCTGCTGTTCATAATACTAACGTCAGAGATCAATCTTTCTTCGTTATTTCAGAAAGAACAAATGTCGTTTAGTAGAAAAATAAACCAAATTTTTGAGCGTTCATCTTTTCTGTTTACGGTAGAGGCTCATTAAGACAGCAACACACAGTGTGCATTTTTTGCATAGCAGGCGGTCATGTAATGTGCTCAAGAACGGGTTTCTTTTCCTCAAAAGTGGCTGTATATCACTTCAAAAACCACCTTTGAGAAAAAAAAATTTTTTCACGAGAAACACCTTGAGGTTCACCTACATTTTTTCGAGAAAATGTTTTTGTTAGAAAATATATTGTGTCATACATCATCCGATGCAGTTTCACACGCTGATTCCGAATATGCCATTAGTTTCCAATGGAAATGCTTTGGTGTCTGAAAAAGAAGAACCGAGCGTGAAAATCAAGGCTTTTAGGACGTTTTTGGAAAATCTACCATTCGTTCCAGAAGCGGCGCCGCTAATTGGCGCTAACTGTGTTGACATGTCATATATAAGACAGCATTCCTTGAAAATTTCATAAAAATTGGAGCTTCGCTAAAGTTCGCGCACGCATTGCATCAAACACACGTCCTGTGAAAATGCGCCAGAAAGATGTTTTATTTTATTCTCCAACTTAGAAAGCCCAAAAATAGAAAAGTTATTTACCAATCGATAGTGCACTTGATGCTGATTCCGAATATATGTTTGTTTGCCCAATAGCTATGTTTGATTTTTTAAAATTTTTGCGTATAATCCGATTTTCCGATGGACACGGGTTTTTTAGTGTGTTTTTGTGTATACGATTTTCCCAGCTTAAATAAGTTCTAGGACATAAAATTTTTTGCCATAAAATAGAGCAGGTTTCGAAGTATATTAATCATCCTTAAAATTACTGAAAAATCAACTTTCATTTTTTCATCAAAAGCCGGCCTGGATGCACACTGTGCAACACAAGGTTTTAGTCGGATTCCGGGAGTTTTCATGTCGTCATCTATTCACGTAAAAGGAGAAAATCGTGAGCCGCTCATCTTCTGGTGTATACCGGTTCAATTTCTGGAACTAAACAGTTTACAAGAGAGAAAAATAAAATGTAAAAAAGAAATATGAGAATAACCATTGATAAGCATAAAAGCTAAAGAAACGTCTACAAATTAAATTTATAGAATTTTTCAGCGCTCTACAGCAGACTTAGGTGAAAGAGTTGAGACATCTTGATGGTAGAGTAGTCAGGATAAATAGTGTGTGCAGTTCGCAGTGCAGAGAAGCATCTGGTCTGCAGAATAATCTGCAAAGGAACCTCGATGTGATAACTTTGTTGTATAGTTTATAAAATTTATTCTAACGATTCTGAAATCCAGAGTCTTCAAAGAAATTACCAAAAAATCAGTAATCTTTCTAAAGATCACACCGGAATGGCGATTTTGCGATGCATCATAATTAATCATCAAAGTTATTATAATTATGGAATTATGACATGTTTTGGAAGGTAAAAACATTACTGTCTAATAAGAAGTGGTCTAATAAGGAGGGGGGTGGGGCTTGATGACTAGTAGAAGAACGGGTGACCGTCTCTGAAGATCATCGGCTGTAGGGAAGATATCGGGCTTATCGAAACTGCTTCGGCAGCACCCTATACCGCAAGGTGGGGTCTTCTTCCTTCCGAATAAGGAGAGTTCTATCGTTTTGTGATTGATGGTACTATAGTTGCTTCAAATCCTTTCAATGATTTGCAGTTTTAGATGAAAACCTCGAATTGAATTTCGTTGTGTTTTTTAGACGAAGCAATTGCAAAGTGCAAAAACTTTATTGAGCAATTAAGAAAAGCATTAGGTGATTTCTTAATCAACAATAATTGTAAAGAATTATTCGATTGTTGCCGACATATAATTAATGGACACAGCGATTGTTTATTGCATAAATCGATTGAAAATGGTCATTATACATTAGCATCTACCTTGATTCAATGCTATCGTACTAATGGATTAGAACGGCGAAATGATTGCGGAGAAACACCGTTATTGTGTGCAGCTAAAAAGAATTGTCAAGATCTGGTTGAAATGTTATTGCAAAAACGGTTGGATTTAATATATAGTAGAGATAATCAAAAAAATAATATATTGCAAGTCATTCATAAACGACGTGATTTGAACATCCTTAATGTACATTAAAGGACTATAGTTCTTTCCAAAAAGTGCATATTGTTATCAGATATAAAGTGCGAAAGAGATATTAGTAAAGTTGGCAGAATGGTGGAGAGAGCTTGATAAAAATAATCTCTAATTTATCCGAACGTTCTTATTATATACTTCCTTTCATGTATTAGCTAAAAATCATGATTCATTAAATACAATTGAATTTCTATTAAATTATCTTCGAGCAAAATCTATTGATATTCGACAACAATTTAATACAAAAAACTGTGAGCAATTAACACCATTCCAACTAGCAACAAAACTGAGTAATGCAAATGTTGTTAAAGTATTGACTTCAAGTGGATATTTTGATGAAAACGATGAGAACGAGTTATTGGTAAAATTAAATGAAGTTCATATCACTGAAAAGCAACTGTGAACGGACAGTGTTATATTAGGAACACAAGAAACAAACGGAAGATAACGGAATGTTAATATGATAATTTGTTTTATTTCATTCGCGAAATTGTAATAATAATATAACGTTATTTCTAAAAAATTTTCTGTTGCAGTTTATTTCACAACGAGTGCACTTAGTTAGTTTGTCGTAGCCATCTTAGTTTAGTGACAGAGAAATTTCGGTACGTGTTAGTCATTTAGAATTAGCTATTGAAAATGTGATTTTGAACCTGTCCTCGATAATTTAACAGCTCAACTGCTGATTGCTCGAGGATAGATTTGACCATCCAGAAAACATAGCAACCATATGCAGAAAACCAATTTGTGTTGTACTGGTGTGTAAAAGTGACATAAACTAAGCAGATCGGAAAGCGAAGATAGTTCTCTCACACTTCTAGCTGGATCTAAAAATACTTGCTTTGAAAATAAGATGAGATCCCAACACTGTTTAGAGAATCGTGATTTTTAGTGCTTTGCAGTTTCTCTGCCGCAGGACCTTTGTCTCGCCTCTCTCCTTCTTTTCACTTTAGGCGTCTCATGAAAAATCTAAAATTTTCTTTCTAATGTAACTTTATATTAGTCTTCTGTCAAGAATCTTTGAAAATGATTGAAATCGGTCTGAAGTAGTCGTTTCAATATTCGAATAATGTCATAAGCGTTTCTATTCTGATTTGGTAAAGAACACTTCAGACATTCATTGACAACGATAACTCGTTTTGCTGTCTATTTTTGTCTATCTTTTGTACCAGTGAACATCTAACATCCGACCGTTAGCGCTGTACCTCAGCTACCGTAGCAGACATTTGGGTGATTAAACAACAGTAGTATTCATGGCTATCCAGTTCTAGCATTTCTGTTATTGAAAACCAAACGATCGACAAACAGGAAGCAAATGAGTATCAACAATAATACGAACACGTTGGCTAATAGTACTTTTTATTGAGTTTTATGTTTTTCATTGTTGTACGGTAACCAAGAAATGTTGCACAATTAGTGCGCAACTTAGCGCGTTTTCTAAACCTAGCAGATCAGGTCGATTATCATGGCTCCCATTTGGAAGAAAACATTATATGTACTCAGATTTTTACGTACATTCCAAATCTGGCGTCTGTTTTGGCGTACAAAGTTTACTTTTCGAGAAATAGAGGAAGACTGGTTTTACGTTGAAATCAACGCCTTTTATTGCTTTCTGTCCTTTTTTCGTCAAAACTGAGTAGATATAAAATATCAATTTGAATGAGTCCGAGAGAAAAAACGAAGACTGGAAATAAGAAATGCTACAATTACTAACTATAGATGGATGTTCTCTTTCTCCTTCTGTTCGTTCATCGTGATAAATTACGAAAAGAGAACGTGAAAAGAAAAACATATATTCAAACGAAAAAAACGACAGATAGCAAAAAAGGCGTTAATTTCAACGTAAAACCCGTTTTTTCTCTATTTCTCTAAAAGCAGACTTTGCACCGCAAAATAGACGCTAGATTTGGAATCTACATAAAAATCTGTTTTCTTTACGCAAAATAATCGACCACTCCAGTACTCCCGGGAGTATTTTGATATTTCCGTACTGCTATTTGTACTCTGGTAGTTCCATGTGTAGGTCGGTAGTCTCGGAGTAGGGAGTATAAGATTCTTAAATCTTGACAGAAAGATCTAAGTTTCCCGACCAGCTTAAAGGCAGCATTCTGCTTCTCATTTTTTAGTGAACATTCGTCTTATTTTTCCAAACTACTTTTATGGTAGTCAAACAAAGGCAGTTAACGAAAACGAATTTTTACCATTTTTCTTGGAGGTAAGAAATAAGAAAAGTTGTAGCCAAAGCGTTACGTCTGCTAATCTATCGGACAATACATAGTATTTTTCATCAGTATAAGCCAGCAGGCTGTCCGTGTGTGAGTATATTTATAGCTGTTATTCAGTTTAATATGCAAATACGAAGCTTGTGATGAATTGTTGATCGCTGACATTTTTGTTAGCTTGAAAAACAAAGAAAAGCTTATCACAAACAACAAAAACCAACAAGAATAAGAAAGTCAAAACACAAATAAAGTGTGCACTTTAGAAGAAGCGGGAGAAATTTCTAAGTCACGGTAAATGTTTTCAAAATTCTTACTGCCTGTGGAGACTTTTCAAAGTCACTAGCAGCTGACGCTCATCTTCTTGTTGCATCCATCTGCGGGTGCTAATAAAATTTTCAGAATTCTTTTTTTCATGAATGTCATAATGAATTTCAACGGTTAGCCAACCATTCGATGGTTAGCCTGCAAATTACTGTTGATGGACTTTCTATAGAATATCCAGTTCAACACTGGACGATATTCAGTTTTTCGTCAAAGGCAATTCGTATCGATTAATAGTTACCAAAGAAGAAGGAGAGCAATGATATTAACAAGAAGAAACTGCATGTCCTTGAAAACAGCGATCACTGCTGGAGACGGAAAGTTGTGACGCAGAGCACACAGTTTAGAGAAGCTTTTCAGTTGTTGCATTTACTTAGTACGAATTGAATATTTAGTAACATCATCGGTATTTTACGAGCTGTGGAACTCTTCGTTACTCATAGATGTACCCTAAACTGAGTATTTCCAGCATGGACCCGGGAGTGACTCCATGACGCTTCATGCGCGTATGATTCAGATAGTGGACAAATGGAATCATTTTATCACCTCGATTAATACCGTAATGCTCATCAATTACTGGAGCATATTCGTTCGGATGATTCTTTTCCCATTCTGACCATAGGCGATCAATGTTGGCATGATTCAGAAAAAAGACTGGATCGTTGGGAGAAACATCCAATGGTTCCATCGATCCTTCCCATATTTTATCATTCAGAATGAAAATACCTGCTACCCAATCGTGCACTACATTATGCAAGTGTTGAATTTTCTGGTCGGGTGGATCAAATCCTTCAATAGTATTCCGAAAACTTTGAGCCAACGGGCTTTGTTTGTTATAAGGAGGCACATCGTAGTGAGTGGCGGTTAAGGCCTGCGCCACATGCGCTACAGTAGGAAGATAAACTGGGTAATGGTTTCCACTGAAGTCTCCGAGTCCTCGCACTAAATATGGGAAAGGACAACGTTGACTATGACCTGGCATTTGAGAATAAATGTTTATTTGCCATATTCCCTTACGAAAGGGCCCTGATACCACCGCATATCCTTGTTCAAGTACTCCACCTGATCCCATGAAATCATCTGTAAACACGGCTCCGGTACTGGCGGGATCTGTCCAATCCCAAAAAGGCACCGTAATATTCTTTGCACTTACTTCACAGAGTGCATCTTCGAATAGGAGTAACATTTTCCTATGCCAAGGTAGAAATGCCGGACTATGATGCGCAATTCCAATCCCTGAAGAAGTCGACTCTGCCACTGTCTTCTGGTGCCAGGCGACAAATTGATCGTAGTAGGTGTATGAGTTATTGTAAGGGGATAAGGTGGCTTTCAACTTCAGCACTGCCTCCACAAAATCGCCTTTTTCCTGGGCTGACAGGTTTTTGACATTTTTGCGAACGCGCGTGCCAGGAGGAATGCGGTTGCTCATGGAAGCTGGGACAATAAATTGGGTTTCTCCGTTCGAAGAGGAGACAACCTTTACATCTGGCAGAGTATTCCAGTTTAGCAATCCACCAATATTAGTGTCATCTTGAAGCAAAGAATGTGAGGCATTGGTTCCAGAATCTTTTTCAGTAAAACTCAGTTGATTAGTTCGGATCTGATGGATATCGGTAATTGGAACGATTGGTTGATAAATATTATTATTAGTATAATCATTATAATCAGTTACTTTATTTTGTACATGTATTGATAATTGTTCTGTTCTATCTACTTTTTCAAAACGATTTTCCACATTAGGAATAACTTTGTTTAATGAATGTATTGTTTCTTCAAAATTTGTTGTTAATTCATCGCTTAACCTTCGTTCAACTGAACATGAAGGATAATTTGAACTATCTGCGGAACTATATTTTAGTTGAAAATTTGATAAACCTTGTTTAATCATTGATTTTGATTGTTTACATGAATCGAATGTTTTACATTTCATTGTTATTGGTTCCGATACCGTATATTGGTGTTCAATAATTTTGAACCATTGTGTACTATTATCTATTGAACACTGAATTTTATTCTCTGATCTAAGTTGCGCATTCGAATCAATATGAATATGTTTTATAGAAAATGATGATAGAGAACAATTGATAAATGGACATTTTATTGCAAGGTTTCGAATAACGGATGTTTCAATATGTTTGGAATCTAATTGGACAGTAAATGAATATTCATAATTCAATGCATTAGAATTGGAAACACATTCTGTAGTTTCATTTATATTAATTTGAATTGCAAAATCAAATTGACATAGATATGGCCGATATATACGTACGGTTGCTATATAAGCGCTATAAAACATTTCTTGTTCTTTACCAGGATCATGTGCTATTGAGTACTCTGGCTTTAATTGAGTTGGAAGCGAATAGACAGAATTAGCTAATGAAAAGCCTGTTATATGAGCAAATATAACAATAATTAAATATTTGATGATAAACATTATAGGCTTTTGCATAACCAAGAACTAAAAAGTAATACTGTCTTTTATCTTCTATATCGTAGGTTAGTAGACCATGTACAATGACACATCGTCCGCTAAGAGATTGCAGGTAGATTGCAATAAAAGTGGTAAATCGGCAGTAAAAGTATAAATAATAACGGCTCTAAGCAACTTCACTGAGGTATGCAAGAAATGAAAGATGCGTCCGACATAATTCCGTCTAACAAATGTAAGTGTTCATCGGTCATCAACAAATAGCTGCGAAATCATTCTGCTACGGAGTCGGGAAGACCCTTATTACGGAGCTTAATAAGTAGACATTGATGACCTACTTTATCAAATGCTTTAGGTTCCTAACATCGGGATTTGCCGATTTAGACTGTGGCCAACATAGCCAACTACGGCAATCAGTTGATTTTCCTGCGATTTATTGGGAAGCAACACAGACTGTTCTTTGAGGATACAACTTTGTGGATCATCACTATTAAATGATGCAGGGATATGGCTAAGTTGCCAATCTGGGGAAAATTCGCTTGGAGGTAACAAGTCATTAAACAAATATGTCACAACCACACCGATGATCTCGGCCGCCTCCCAAAGCATTCTGTTAGACATATCCCGGGGAACTTGCTTTATTGACATTTAAGTGTATCAGAATGAAATATACTTCTGTCACATTTATGGTGAATTCAGACATTACTATCGGAAGCTGTCTAAGACTATTAGTTACCCTCCTATTGTTTTCAGAATGTGTGTGCATGTAACGTCTGTAATGTTTAATTTTAAGTGGAAGAGAGAAAATTCCACCATACAATGATTACAAGAGTTACTGAGTATAAAACATTAGTCTTAGAAACAGAACTAGGATTATTAGTAAAAATGAGATCGAGATCGGACTGAGATCTAGGTCTGGATTTTAACAAAAGAGCATTTCTTTGCTACTTACATGTCAATTTATTTATTTAACTGGAAGATGAACTGTCATGAAACATTCTTATGTGATGTACTCTTTAACACTAACTTTCTTTTTCAAAAATAGCTGCTTTATTTATGGAGCTTTCAACTATTGAATGGATATTTTCCTGTCGTGTACTAAAATAAGTTTTTCTCACATTAACATAACTTATACATGATGAAATATCTACTGATGTACATCGTTGCCTCTTCCTTTCTTTTCTAATCTATATGATTCAATGTATGATATCATGACTCTCTCCAACTACGTTCTTTTGCAAGTAATTGACTGGGAAAAATTTAGGGTGTCATCAGAATTATGTCTCCTATAGTAAATTATGTATAATTAATAATATCAAACAAGAAATTGTGTTTTGATCGGTAGTTTCCGAAAACAACAAACGGTACGGCACATGTACATAATGGCGTGATGACAGTCATATCTGTTTGGTCTAAGCTTATTCAGTTAACACACTAGATTTTTCCTAGTCAATTACTTGCAAAAAAAGAACATAGTTGGAGAGAATCATGATATCGTACATTGAATCATATAGCTTAGAAAAGAAAGGAAGTGGCAATGATGTACATCAGTAGATATTTCATCATATAAAAGTTATGTTAATGTGAGAAAAACTTATTTTATTACACGACTGGAAAATATCCATTCAATAAATAACGTTTTTCGAGTTTATTTAAACCAATGGAGAAAAAAAAAAATTCCTAGGAAAGGTGTTGAAGACTAGTACAGTAATATTTCCCTCATATACTTCAATTCAATTTTTCTTCAGTAGGTTTTATCTTTACATGACTCAATACTAGTGTTTTAAAAATTTCTTTTCAATTCAATCTATTCTTTATAAGAAAATAAAAAGTACATATAACAAAATTCTCCATTCATAATCTTGTTCTTGCCTCTCTCCCTGCCATGCACATAGACTTTCAGCCTTTTTGGTGATGTGTGTGCCTAGATTAGAAAAACACTAGATAATATACAATCAGTTATTTTGTTTTAAACTTTATGTAACATCCTGTACGAGGAGAAACTTGAAAATGACCGTATTAATAGGTTGATCGACTTGGCAAGCTAACTGTCACCGCTCAAGTAGGAGACTGTAGTGTAAAACTAATCAAAACCAATGATAGCATTACAAAAAACGGCTAGAATAGTATATTGAATCGATATCAAAATCGCCAAGAAGTACCATGAGGCTCGCTATTCATTGGTAAGATGTTTTAGGATCACTGGTAGAAAATCGCTAATGATACAGTAAACAAGTCGCATAGACCGATCGAATGCACTATAATTTAGTGGATTTTGATCACGTTTTGAGAGAGAAAAATGCGAAATACAGCGTGACGGAATTTCATTTTTGAGTATAACATCTATAAAAATGCATCTTTTATTCATGACCAAAAATCGAAATATTTTTTTTTCGTGAATTAGGCTGACACCAACATTATTCAACGCAGTTTTTTAAACTGATTCCAAATAAAGCACTCAAAAAATTGAAAGAAATTTCAATTTTTCAATTTCTCAGTTTAAACTAATTTTTGACTTTTTAAATTTACGAAATTTAGAGTGAAAACGTTTCCATTGAAAAACATCTGAGACTGATTACAAACGTTTATGAGCTTATATCTGATGATTTTCTCGCTTAGAAATTACTCAAATTTCAATTTTAATTATATTTAACACTAGCAACGTTGCAAAGATGGGTGACTCATTAGCTCCTATTTTAGCCGAAATATTATGCTGGAATTTGAATCTAAACATGACCAAGGATGTAAAAGCCTTGGAATTGTTTATTCAAAACGTTACGTTGATGATTGTTTGCTCTGGTGAAATCGAAGCGGACAACCGAAGACATTCCAAAAATTCTCAGCTGTTAGCATCCTTCTATAAAATTTACTCGTGAAGAGGAAACAGCAAGAAAACAGTTACCATTTTTCGACATCGTGTTATAATGTTTATAATGTTAGTTCTGAAATCGGTAATGGATTTAGTCCCAAACATCGAATTCCACTTCAGCTTCGATCAGGCCTAGTGTACGGGGCAACCTGTCCTGAATGTAATCAAAGATACATTGGAAAAACATGCAGACATCTTCTAACTCGTGTTAATGAACATTTAAAAGATTAAACGTTATCTCCTCTCAAAATCTAAGTATTCAACCAAAACCAATTATTCTTCGACAGATAACGACATCAAATTTTTTACTTCAGGTCCAACTGCTAGGCCCAAAACTGGCAAATTGTTAAAAAGAAGTCAACGGAAGAACAAGATAAAATTAACGAAATAATTGATAATTTGACTAGAGAAAAACGATTAGATAATACTAGGGGATTATCGATACTTCGATACCGATACCACGTTTGGTATCGAATTGAACGATACTTCGATGCCGATACTAAAAGTGGTATCGAGCGCTCGATACCGATACCGAGGCGGTATCGGCATCGTTAGCTTTTAAATCAAGAACGGAATAATGTAGTTTTCTTCTTCTTTTTCGTTCTTTTTCTAGCTTTAGAAAAAGAAAAGAAGGATAAAATAGACATCTAGCGTATATGTTGGAGGAGAAATTAAAATTTAGGAAAATATAAAAATTATCCTAGGAAGAATTAAAATTTTAATTTTTCCTAGGATAAATTAAATTTCAGTTTTTCCTATAGGACAATTTTAAATATTCCCGGTACACTTCATATTTTAGTTTTTCCTATAGGAAAAATCAAAATATTTTTTACGTCCGATAAAATCGATAGAAGATCAGAATAAAATAAAAATGTACATTTAAATAAACGTTGCGCGCATTACTCAAGTAGGTCTTCTCGTATCACGTTCTTATTAATATGGAAGACTTTTATAAATTACTTGATAATCGTATCCAAGGTTTAAATCACAAGTTTCAAGATAAATTTTGTATAAGACAATCATTGTATGATGATATAATTTTGGTTCTCCAAGATGGTTGGGAAGATTCTCAACTAAAATTCTGGGTGCTTAAAAATTGATCAAAATCGGCGATCAAAATGTTGTATATGACATTAAATCTAATAATCCTGTTGTGACATACGAGAATCTGTACGTAAAAATTAAAGAATGTCATGAAAGAGTTGGCCATCACGGTCGAGACAAGACGTGGTTAGAGGTATGTAGCGCAAAGATTTATAATTGAATTAAATAATGTATTTTTCAGGTGAAGGACGAATTAATAAAATTTATACTATGTATTCAGGAATATTTAAAATTATCCTATAGGAAAAACTAAAATTTTAATTTATCCTAAGAGAAAGAATACAGTACAAATTGAAATTTCAAGTTCTTCTAAGAGAAATTAAAATTTTAATTCTTCCTAGGAGAATTTTAAATTTTCCTAAATTTTAGTTTCTCCTCCAACATACGTATATATCGTATCTTTATCTTCTTTTATTTCGTCTACTTGATCTATTTAGTCATTGATATAGCAAAAATTCATTGTTGTAGACGATTATTCGCAACGGTATTCATGTGTACCTGCTACAAGCGTACTATCAGAATCATGTTTCAACTTAAGCGGCTATTTGTTAAGAAAAGAAAGATCTTCACTAATCCTAAGACAGTAAACGAATTGATGCTGTTGAAAGGTAAACTTTAAAAACAAATAAGTTGAAAAAAAGATTTTTTATTGTATTTGTATTGATTTTTGTTGTATCTAAGTATTTTTTTTTGTTTTGAGCTCCTTGGGAACTCTTTGTTTAAGAACTTAAAAAGAAAGCACGAAAAAACTTTTTGGTTCACTTGTCCTTAAGCTTCATCGACCCGGATGCAAAAGTTCGACACTTCCAAAATTGATTGAAAAAATTTCGATACTTATCGATACGATACCAAGTCGAAATTTTTAGATACTTTCGAGACCGATACCAGAACCTGGTATCGACCTAAACGATACCTCGATACCGATACAGAGGTTGGTATCGAACGCTCAATACCGATACCGCCCGAGTATCGGCATCGATAATCCCCTAGATAATACTGATTACAAGGCTAAGTCAGCTATTGGAAAACATTACGAAATTACAAAACA